CACGTGCTGGTCATGTAAACTGGGGAAAGGACAGCAAGAGGGAGGAAGAGAGATCCAGGAGTCTGGCCACCCAACCAGTGTTTGTCTGTTTTTGTAAACAAACTTTTATTGTCTAGAAGTATATATTTAAAACATTCCCCATAAAAGGATGCTATTCTGTCATTTCCCCATCTTCTTCCTCTTCTCCAACAGCCCTGCTGTAAAGGACATTATTAGACATTATTTAAACTTCACCCAGGTGTCCCGACAATGCTCCAGCTACGTTCTCTTCTGTGTTTGCAAGCTGCAGGTCCACACAACATCAACAGACACCAGGCAGGCTCTGCACTCCGTTCCCCACTTAGATTTCACCACTGCTGGCTTTCCCGTTAATCCACTGAGGAAAGGTTTGGGATTGAGGGCAGAGTCATGGCAAGGAGGAGCAAATGCTTCAGGCTATGCTGCCAACCCAGCCCTGGTCAGAGAGAAACACTGGCCTGCAACCAAGGCACACGCCCTGACTGGGAATTGAACCCGCGTCATTTCGATTTGCAGGCCGGCGCTCAATCCACTGAGCCACACCGGCCAGGGCTGGCCACTGTTACGTCTTGGTCCACGTCCCTGCTGTCTGAGTGTGACCACCTCAAGGGTGGTGCACATCATCAGGGTCTCCTCCTGGAGCTGATGCAGGCTCAAGGAGTAACAGAGTGACGTTAGTGGGGCCTGCCGACAGCTGTGCCTCGGTCACGGCCCGGTCGCTAGTGCAGATGTCACCGAGACGGTCCTCTCTGTGCTGTGCACATGTGAGCCTGACCCGACTTTGGGTTTTTTGTATTTCTGTGTTCTGTATTTTTCTTTATTTCCACATTTGCACAAGCACGTGAGGTGCCGAGGGGGCCGAGGCCTGGCACAGGTGTCAGTCTCGGTCTGGTGGCTCGCCAGCAGCCACGTCTGAGGGCGCCTGTCCCCGGCCCACCCTTGCCAGTGCTCCTCGTCTCTGGAGCAGGCTTCTCATGCTCGGACACGTGGCTCTGACAGAGTGTTTCTCACGTGAGAGCCAGTCTGCCGTCCTCTGGGCTGCAGCTGGTCGTTAGGGTCTGTGGACCTGCGGGTATTGGCATAGGGGCCCTGGCACTTCCTGCAGAGGTCAAAATCTTCTTCTGGCAGTTGAGCGATGAGGGCACAGCTCCCACAGGCTGCTGCCTGTTCTGTCCTAACCCTGCCATCTCGGCTGTGTTTCTTAATGAGGCCATCCAATCACAACAGGTCCCCAAGAAGAATTAAGCTGGCGCATGCTGACTTGACTCCAGGGGAACTTTTCATCAAAGCCGGACAAGCCGGCTTGTCACTGGCAGGGGCTGGTGTAGAGTGTCACTCAAGGCCCCTTGTTCTGTGGCATCTCGGGGTTCCCCTGTGAACCCGCAGCTCCGGGCCTCGAGGCAGGCCCGGGAAGTTGGCTCTGTGGCTTATCCCTCCTGGGAGGGAATGCTGTGGGACCAGTGTGAAGGCAGCTGCTGGGTTGAGTGTCCCACCCTCGGAGCCTGGTGATGCCAGGGCAGACCTGGGGCTCAGAGTTGTGCCACATGGGAGACATACAGAATGACGAGGATCCCTTCTAAAGCCCACTCTGTGGTTGCGCGTGCCCTCACGGAGGCCAGCCCAGCAACAGGTGTGCCTGGAGTGACTGGCAGGTTCTGGTTACCCCAGAGTGCTGGCGTGTGTTCCGGAGTGTGGAAGCGTGCCCAGCTCTGGGCGGTCAGGGTTCTATGTGCGTCTGAGCTCCTGGCCCCTGAGCACTTCTCTCTAGAGGTGGGCTTCACCCAGCTTCCTAAATCAGTGTGTTTAGTCTCTCAGTGTGGCTTCTGTGAGGTTTACAGGAAGACATTTTTCTGCTAAAAATAGAACAAAGGTTCTAGTGAAACATTCACATGGATTTTTAAGGTAAGTCAAAAAGTCACTGCTTTAAGTGACTGGAAGCTGCTGAGTCTCTAAAAGTCACATGCAATGTGACCCTTGAGGTCCTCCCAATCCCTGCCCTTTTCTGGATAAGACTCACTTTTTGAGACCCAGCCCCAGTGCCAGCTCCCTCGTGCTCAGGCAGCCGCCACTTCCCCTTACCTTAGTCTGCTGTGTGGTACAGTTCTGCTGACTCTCCTGTCTTTTCCTCCTTTTTTATCCTACTTGGTCCCCACAAACTTTTAGGACTAGATTACCCTTGTGTATCTCATGTTACTCGGCATGCTGTTGGCACTAAATGAATGTCCTTGTTCTGCCTGGTCCCTGCTCCAAGTGCAATGCCTAAGTTGTGGCTCATGTGGCCTTGAGTCCAAGGTCTGACCACACGAAAGTTGGCCTTGAGATCTTGGTATCTTGTGACAAGGGAGGCTTCCTGGGGTGTCCTGAGGGTAGAGATGAGCCTCATCCCGTCTAATCTTTCCTACATAACCTTCTCCTAGTTGCCTGTGAGGTAGCAGCGGGCTAATAAATAATTCCTGAGCTTGGTGATGTGCAAATGTCATCATTTGCCTCTTTTCAGACAGAGAGGAGGTGCCGCTCCATTCCCTATTCCATCCAGCAGCTCTGTCCCTTGCTTTCCAGACCTCAGCCCCTTTGTCGGAAATGGTGGTGTTTTAACCAGTAGGGACACTGCTGAAGCAACATTTTTCCGGAAGTTGGTCTATGGGGTCCTTTAGTCTGGCTTGGAGAACAGTAGAGGTCCAGAGGCCCAGGCGGCAGGGGCCTGGGGGCTAGTGTGAGACCAGTGCTTAATACGGGGGATGGAGCCAGAGGATGAATTTGAGAAGTCTTTGTGGTTGGGACACTGCCCTGGGGGACAGGAAGTTTACAGTGGGGAGAGAGGGAGCAGGCAGTGACTGGAGTCTGGGCTGAGAGCTGGGCTTATAGGGAGAAGGGCACAGAGGTGCTCCGGGCTGAGCAGGCCTGCACACAGACCGGTGAGGCTCTAGGTCCAAGTGCTTTCATGTCCTAACTGATACGATGTAAGAAGAGCAACTTTGTAAAGGTGGGCTTAGTGAAGAAGCCCTCGGAACTCTTGGGTTTTACCACACAAATTCCAGAATTTAATGTTCATGAATGAAAAATAAGACCTTAAAATGGAGTGGTCAGGATGCCTCCAGCCTCCTGTGTGCACTGTGGGGCCTGTGGGCATGTCATGTCTAGAAGGGTGAAGTGTTTCCACCAGGCCACCTCTCCTGCAGAGATGCCTGATGCTGTTCTGGGTCTGCAGCCAGCCAGCTGCTCTTGTATTCTTAGTGGCCTACACCTGCTAAGGACCTCTTCTGAGCTCCCCAAGAGCCACTTTTTGGACAGGGAGGCTACATCGACTCTCACACTGGTTTATGGAGTCAGTCTCAGGGTGGTGACCTTGGCACCCTGTCCCTTCCTTGAGGCTGCTGGTCCAGGTACCAGGCTCTGCCTGGGGAGGACAGGGTTCTCAGTGGGCTGAATGTGCTGGTGTGGATGGAGAAGATGTTGGGCCCCCCATCTAGCCAGTAGCCCCACCGGAAGGCTGCCTGGGTGGGTCATACTCATCAACCCAAATCAGATGTCCAGCCCGCAGGTCTGCGGTATTCTGGCAGCATCGGATCCATTGCCTTGGGTGAATTTCAGTCCCTGTCACGCCCCCCATACCTATGTGACTTGTTTGCCATAGATTCCCCCATGTTTGTTAGCCTCCATGGGACCCACTTTGGTGGTGTCATTGTATGGGGACTGTGTCTACCTCCCTTGGCCACGGATGCATCAGCCAGAGGTGCTATGGTTGGAACTGATTCTGAAGACCCTCTGTGGATGGTGAGGGGTCCCCGATGGTCAGAAAGGCCCCCCCAGTGCTGGAGTGTAGGAAGAACGCCCTCTGATGGTCTGTTCTGTAGACAGCATGGACTCCGTGACCACTGCCCAGCAGGTGAGGCTCCCTTGGTGGTCAGCAGTCACTGGGAACCTTTAGGGGAAATGAGGTTCTGTTACATGTGCCACTGACCTGGACCATCATTACTGATGCCTCACCTGCATACTCACCTAGGGAGGTAGCCCAAAATAAGGACAAGTCCTGGCCACAGAGGCCATGTTTTGGTGTCCTTCAGAGTTGGACCTGTTAGTGTCACCCCTACCTTTAAGAGTTTGCCATGGAGGAGAGTCTGTTAGTGACTGTGGGACCGTTTCTACAATGAAAAAGAATCAGCTTTTTCTTAGAACTCTTTGGAGCTGTGAGGAAAGAGGCCCCGTACATAATCACCTTGCCTCACAGTGAATAAAGGAAGGTTATCTTGTTACAAAACATAATTTAAACTCGGCTTAGATCTCTTATGGCTGGTGTGGTTAAGTTGGTTGGAGCATCATCCTATAACTGAAAGGCTGAGTGTTCAGTTCCTAGTCAGGGCACATGCCCGTTGCAGGTTTGATCCCTGGTCAGGGTATATACAGAAAGCAACCAATTCCTTTTTCTCACATTGATCTTTCTCTTTCCCTTCCTGTCTAAAAAGCAATGTAAAAAAAAAAAAAAATGTCCTCGGATAAGGATTAAAAAAAAAAAAGAAAGCCCCGGCCAATGTCAGTTGGTTGTGCATCATCCTGCAGAGTAAAAGTTTGCTGGTTCAATTCCAGGTCATGGCATGTGCCTGGGTTGCAGGTTTGGTTCCCAGTCCAGGCACATATGAGAGGCAGCTGATCAACAATTCTTTCTCACACTGATGTTTTTCTCCCTCTCTTTCTTGTTCCCTTCCCCTCTCTCTAAAAATAAGTAAATGAAATCTTAAAGCAAACAAACAAAACTTGGCATAGACCTGAAATGGTGACAGATCAGGGCTGGAGGCTGCGGATGGCAGGAGGCAGAGAGCACCACTTGGGGATTCCCTAAAGTGCCGTGAACGTCGATCTGGTTGTGGGTTAAAGAGACACCCCAGATGCCTCCAAACCCCTTTCAAATGTGACCTGGCTGGGAGTCAGCTGTGGGACTGCTGCTTTCTTGTCCAGGATTCACGTTGGTGCTTTGTTCTTTGTAGGATGAAACAGGTGCCTATTTAATCGACAGAGATCCCACCTATTTTGGGCCTGTGCTGAATTACCTGAGACACGGAAAACTGGTCATTAACAAAGACCTCGCAGAAGAAGGTGAGTTGGCGGCAGGATCCGGTGAAGATGCCAGCTGGACCCCTCTGGGCCTGGCCGCCTCGTGGAGCAGGCTCCGTGCACTAGTGCCCAGGTCCCCCCACTTGTCCCCCAAACATGTCCCATGATGCAGCAGACTTCAGAGAGGTGAGAGGGTTGATTGGCACAGCCTGTTCGCTTTCTCTCCTCCAAGAAACAAAGGCTCACGAGAGCTAGGCTGGCCCATCAGGACTGCGGTTGCAGCACGGCCTAGGGACTTTGGTCCAGGCCCCTGCAACTCCACTCCTGGGCTGTGGGCAGGTCTGCGGGCTACCTCTTTCAAGTGTCTAGTGAAGCATGAGTGTGGGGGCTTCTCCCTTGGAAGACCACCCATTGTCACAGACACTTTGACTAAAACAGTCTGAGGGCCGTGTGTAAGGAATGTGCTCACTCTGTGAGTCTCTCAGGTGTCCTTCAGAGTCCCTGGGCCTGCTCTGTTCCAGGGCACTAGTGTGCCATCATCTCTGAGTTCTGTCTGCATTTTCAAATGCTGTACTACGTTCTGATTCTGGTCACAGGGGCAGGGATGCCAGGCACAGCCCTGTGGGTACCAGGTCTGAGGTTGATGTCTGCATGCTCTGGTCTGGGCTTGCCTCCAAGCACCAGGGAGGTCTGGAGAGGCTCAGGACACTGTCACTCAGAGTGGGCTCTGGCTCCTCTGCTCTGCTTTCACCCTGGAATGACTGCCAGTACAGTCCTTCAGCTCTCATCATGTCTTTCTTCATGTCTTTTCTGGATCCCTGGACTTTTTTCTTACGCTCACACTTGTTTGATTTGGGACACCATTTGTGTTGTGTGTGGGCATCTGTACAGTTCAATGCGATTTGCTTGGGAAGGGGTACTTGATGCGACCAAGCCCTGTCACTTGGCCCTACCTGCCTCCCTTCCTATGGCCTCAGACACAGTGTCATCAGGAGAAACACCCGTGTGAACACCATTTCCTGTTCTGCCCTTCAGACCATAGTGCCTGGAGCATCCAGGTGAAAGAAAGGTGTGCCCTTTAGGCCCAAGCATTTGTCGTAAAGCTTCTGGTGCTCATTTGCAATGCCCCTCAGTCCTCACTCATGGATCTGAAGGGAGGGGTTGACAGTGCTCTCAAGTCATTCTGAGAAGTAACAATCTAGATGTGGCCTGTCTTTGGGCAGCCCTGCAGAAAGACATCCTGCCTGACAGGTTGCTGCCGCCCCCACCCTCGCCCTCTGTTGCCTCACCTGGTGACCTTGTTAGGAGGCAGCTTGAGCGGGTCCAGCAACTGGAGTTCACGGCTCTGAGCTTCTGGTGCTGCCAGTGGAGGGACTGTACCATGCAGAGTGAGTTTGGGCCGGGATGACCAGGCATGGCAGCAGAAGACACACTCCAAACCTTCTGGAATACCCACGAGGAATCCCTGAAGCAGAGCCCCTCCAATTTGTTCTTGATTTCAAGTCCCTGAATAAGGTGCATTACAGTGGCCATCTTTGAGAAGAATGGAGTTCCTAAACTGGCCAGAGTCCTAGGGCGAGGAGCCACCCCCTCAACCAGCCAGTCAAACATTTGAAAGGGAAACTGAGGTGTCAGGACTCAGTTTCTGAGACTGAGGACTCAGAGGCCTGCACGAGGCTGCTGGGCCAGGCCCAAGCCTTCTGTGGAGGGGAGGGAAGAATTGGCCAGCCCAGAGCAGACAGATGTGGGCTGTGGAGGGAAAGTGCTGTGTTCATCCCATGTGCCCAGCGTGGAGCTCACAGTCCACACTCTGGGACCTGCATGTAAACCAGCTGTTCTGTATGTGAGTTCTGCACCCGGCAAGTCACTTGGGGGGCATTCATGCAGGAGCGTGTCGTAAACACGCTGTTCTTCATTTGAGCCATCTGCCCCAGTTCTGGGGAGCTACACCAGGAGCCAACAGTGTCTGCGTGGAGACTCTTGGGGTGTTAGGACAGGCTGAAGAGTCATTAGTGGTCCAGGCACAGGCCACAGGTTTACAACAGGGCTGAAATGAAATGTTTATTCTTTGATTCGGTGACAACTATAGTTATTTTTCTCTATTCCAGGAGTGTTGGAAGAAGCAGAATTTTATAATATCACCTCACTAATAAAACTTGTAAAGGATAAAATTAGAGAACGAGACAGCAAAACATCACAGGTGAGACCACTGACTAGAAGCTTCTGCTCATAGGCACATATGCGTGACTCCTCCCCCTTCCCTTCTCACTGTCTAAGGACAGCTGGTCAGCCTCCTCGTGAGGCTTTGGGATCTGGCTGTCCTCTCTTGGTGACCGACCATCTTCCTCTGTAATCATCCTAGCATCTAATGGCACCGTGGCAGGCGTGAAGTGTGAATTCAGCTAGCCCCATCCAGCCTATCCTCAGGATGTAGGAAGGGACAGACAGCTGCTGGCGTAGAAAGTGGAGTCCAGTGAGGGTGAGGAGGTGGCAGGGGACAGGAAGCCCCTGAGGGGAGAGAGTGTGGGCAGTCAGGTCACTAGAGTGCGAACGGCCTGCGGGCTGCATGCTTGCCCATTTGGAGGGCCGGTGTTCGGGGCGGGGGGAGAAGCAGGGAGCGCTGGTTTTGAGCTGGGGGCAGGTGGTAGATGCAGGGGTCCTACAGATCTATGTCAGTGCAGTGAGAACTTAGCTTTACTGGGAAAGAAGGGCTTGTTTGGTTCTCTTTGTGCTGCTTGAGTGCCTGGTGGTGCCAGAGCCAGCACATCCATGCTGCCGCCCATTAGGTCAAGCACTGTTTGAAGTGGCCTGGGTCTGGCACCTCTGAGAAGGGAGGCACCAAAGAATCTAAGGATTAGTCTTTGTTGATGTGCCAGCTCTGCTCTGAGAGCACAGCAGCGAGCCCATGTCCAGTGAGTTCAGCTCCTTGGGGAGGATGCCGTGAAGCTGACCATCCCTCAGAGCTGCCGTTAATATCCGGAGATTCTTGGTCCACTTAAAACCCTTTTGCACACCTCCCCTGGCTCCCAGGGGTGCCAGCAAACCCTGAGCCAGAGTCCTTGACCTTTGTGAAGAGGCTCACTGACACCCTGGCCTCACAGAGTGGCTACTCGGGGACCGGGCATGGGAAGGGGCTTATTGCAGTGACAGCCTAGGAGGCTGGGACCACCGACCTGATGGCCCCCAGCCCTCCTGTGGGAGCCGGTGGGGCTCATACATGTCCACGAGCTTGCTGGTCCTCTGCAGACAGTTCACCTTCCCCTTCCAGCAGCTGCACTTGATGAGTCGTGCGACCCCGACTGGCACAGCCTGTGTCATCACTCCCTCCTTGCATAGTGGCATAGTGGAGGCAGAAGAGACCCTTGTCACAGGTCCATTGTGAGGATTGAAGGGCCCAGGCTGGGTAGAATGCCAGTGTCACTCACAGTCTCACAAATGAGAGCAGTTTCTGGCTGTACAGACCCTGCCATTTGAGTGTCACTGGTAAGTCACTGCCTTAACATCAGAGAACAGCCTGGTGCTCCCACAGCCCCTTTCCTTACGGTGGCACATGTGTTAGGTGTGGTGGCCGGCTTGTGCTCCTGCAGTAGCAGCTCCATGAGGGCAGGCTTCCGCAGGGGCTCCTGGTACCAGACCCCAGGCCTGGAATGGAGCTCAGGGAAGGTTGGGTGGTGACTGGGTCAAAAGACACATCAATTTTTTGGAAGCCCTGTCAGTCCAAGGGAGGGCCCATGTCTGCTGGGAGCAGGGCCAGGTTGGTCCTGCATCGCTCTTAGGCCTCCCTGCCTGTCCTTCCCCAGCTGGTGGATTCAGGGACTTGGTGTGGATCCCTGGTGGAACAGGTCCCTTGTGGGCGTCCTCGTGTGTTCACAGCTAGACACAGGTGCTCTTGGCATTTCAGGAACATGACTCACTTTACTTTGGAATTTAGAAATAGAAATGTATTTGGAGCAGACGAGGAAGCAGAAAACAGCAGCTGTTCCGGCCTGTTTGTTTTGTTTCGGCATATGTGTTTGGGGCTGCCTTAGGCATCGTGACCTGAGCCTGAGAAGTAGGAGGACACGTCAGCCTCACCAGGCCTCCTGTTGGGCTGTCCCAAAAATCGGCAACTTGAGCAAGATTGCTGGACTAGGGTGGGAGCAGCATGGGGCCCATCTCACCTGTGACCCTTGTTCTTGCAGGTGCCGGTGAAGCACGTGTACCGTGTGCTTCAGTGTCAGGAGGAAGAGCTCACACAGATGGTGTCCACCATGTCCGATGGCTGGAAGTTTGAGCAGGTGAAGGCCCCTCTGCCACTCCCTCGCAGGCTGGGTTGGTGTGAGCCTGTTGATTACAGTGGTCTCACCTGGGTGCTTAGGGCTGCTGGCTCCAAGCACCAGAATGCAACGAGGCATTGGGCACCTGTGGATTCTGAAAACGTTGTTTACTGGCAACCTATTGCAGTGGTGTTTGGGTGGGGAGGGTGGGGCTGTTCTTAGAGTGCCTCCCGACCTCTACTTCCTCTCTATTAATTCTGTAGTTATTCTTGCTCTGGCCCATTCTTTTGAGGGGACTGTTCTCTGAGCTTCTGTCTGGCATCTAGTGTGTGTGGTTGGCCTTCTGACCACATCCTGGCCTGGCCTGGCTTCCTTGTCCCACCTCATGTCTGCGCTGCCCCTCCTGTGCTGGCTGAGCAGACGGACCTCCGGCTCTTTCTGTGCTGGGGGTGGCGCATATGCCCTTCCCAGTGGGGCTGCTCTGCAGCCTTCAGCTCCTTTCTTGTCCTTGATTGGAAAGATGTTGCTCATGCATGTCCACTTTCCTCCACTCTTGCCACAGGCTGGGACTGATGGGACAACATGTGAGTCCTCTTCCCTGCCCACCCTGCCTCCCTGCAGCTCTATATATTGCCCTCGTCCTGAGCAGCTGCACTTGGTGCCTGTGGCCTTAGAACACGTTAAGGGTATTCTCTGAGTGGCCAGCACTTTCCTACTAGTGTGTCATTGCTATTCCACTGTTTTAGGCAGAGACTCTGAGGTTTGGGCTTTGACCCTGTTTGGCCCCCAACCCAGCTACTAGTTGTGAAAGGTGGATACTGGGGCTGTGACCCCAGCCCCCAGGTAGTGACTGCCCACCTCAGCAGGCCCCTTCTGGCCCCTGGGAGTTTCCTTTGTTGCTAGCTTCCACCAGGGGCAGGGAGTGGTGCTCCCCAAAGAGAGTATGGAAAATAACATCATCCCTCCTCATAAAGTCCACCCCTATTCTTTGGGTATTGAAATAATGGATTACATTGTAGAGCACCTGGAGTCCCCTTAAACTCACTAAACGTAAGTGCAGTCAGCATGGGTGTCCCTCCCTCCACCCTGGGAGCAGCCACCAGGGCTGCTCTGTATGTCCCTGTTTTCTGATGGCATTGCAATTTGTCCTGCCTTTTCCCTAAGGGGTCCAGGCAAGGGCCTGAGGTCTGCATGTGTTTCCTGTGCTCTGACCTCGTCAGAGTCCCTCCAGAGACTCATGAAGAAACAGCAGTCTCCTGCTCGCCCTCACGTTGTCCCTTGGTGTGCTCCTGGACAAGGGCTAGAGAGGCAGGAGCTGCAATCACCAGTTCAGGATCAGTGAACTAGGTCACCCTCAGGTGGAGCGCAACACCTCTCTGGCTCATGCTGGGAGGGAGAGAGTACCTCCTGCCTGTTGCATGGGCGCCTTCCTCCACATGACTAGCTTTGGGACTTTGTCCTTAGTTCTTCTGAGTGGATCCTGAATCCATTGAAAAGAGCTGGGTCCTCTCTTCTCAAGTCTTATGCCCTTTGCCTGGTTTCTCCCCTAGGGACATTGTTCATGCCAGCAAAAGCCCAGGACCAGACTCATGTTTTTGTTTAAAGAGAAATGCTTTACCCTCAGCAGGAGCTGGACCTGTTGTAGGGGATGTGGGGTCAAAGCCCAGGCTCAGCAAGGTGGCAGGACTGAACCCAGGGTCACCTAGTGGTCAGTGACAAGGGGAGAATGAGGTTCTAAGTGAGGTTTGGAAGAGGCTCTCATGCTTTGTGAGAACATGCCTCCAGCAGACCCATTCATAAGTGACTGCACCCCAACTGCCCTGTCCGTGTCTGGGCCAGGTGCCACTGTGATCCAAAGGTGACATGGCCCATCTCCTGAGGGGCAGCTGTGAACCTAGAACAGATTTGCAGAAGCACGGGGAGAACGTGTCTGCCCCTTTTTGTGTGGGCCCCCTGTGCTTTCTCCTCTTCTGGCCATGCTGGCCTCACCACTCCAAATGTCCCTCACCTGGCTGCGCACACCACCTCCACCTCATCCTTCCCACATGCTTGTACCCAGAGCTCCCTCCTGCGTCTGGCCTCTCATGAGCAGAGATCCATACTTAGGGAGGCCAGAGATTGAGGGGCCTTCCAGGTGTTCATTGGCTTGATTGTTATGCCATTGATGATCTAACTACAATGTAGTGTTTTTGTTTTGATTAACTGTGCATTTAAAAGTACAGAAGCCCTTGTTGGCCCTGGGGTAGGCAGATCAGGCAGGCCAGTTCTCGGCCCCGCATGGTTGCGGTGCTGACTGGGAAACCCATGGAGATGGCTCACACAGACTGAGACTGGGTCCTGTGGGAACCACAGCTTCCCAGCATCCATCTCTGAGATTCAGGCAGCTCTGCCTTCTGCGGCCCTCCTCTGCCAGCCTTCCCCTCTCACCACCGGAGTGTAGGAGTGTAGTCCTTCTCGGTCAATAGCCCCAGGGGAGTAAGGGTCTATCCTGGCTTCTCCTGGGAAGGCCTGATGGCTGTGGTGAGAAGCAGAATGTTTGGGAGCTTGTCCTCGAGTGTGCATGTGTGTGCGCACACGTGTGTGCTCTGGGCCCGTGTGAAGGGAGCAGCTGGTGCGCTGGATGTCCCAGTTCTGCCGCCTGCCCGAGCGGACCGGCTCTGAGCACGATGCCCTCACCCTGCTATCCTCTGCCCCTGCTTGGCATCGTGCTCCCTTGTCCTTATGATCAGTCACATCTCGGGGCCCAGAGAGCTGAAAGGAGCAGGCAGAGAAGACCTGCCTCGCATGAAGTGTACGTGTGTGGTGGTGTTGCAGGTGTGGGTGTGGATGTGTCCCAGTGTGGATGTGTTGGGACTTATATTTTCCCTAAGTTTACTAGAAACCTCTTGGCTGAAAACTGTCCCTTAATCTCTCCGAGTGTTGGCTGTCTCTGCCATGGATTTTCACAGGTTGGAGCTTCCTTCGTTGGGGGTGGCCTGGTCCTGAGCCGGGTGTGTGCGTGGCTCTGCCCACATCACACCTGCCTTCTCTCCTCCCAGCTGGTCAGCATTGGCTCTTCCTACAACTATGGCAGTGAAGACCAGGCCGAGTTCCTCTGTGTGGTCTCCAAGGAGCTACACAACTCCCCGTACGGTACCACCAGCGAGCCCAGCGAGAAAGCCAAGGTGAGTGATTCTGGGCCAGTGGGCAGGCAGTAGCTGTGGGTACTCTGGCCTCCTGCCAGTAGAGGGGGTTTGTGAGGGTGGAGTACGCCCTTCATAGGGTTGGGTTTGTCCTCAGAGCTTTATCATTTCTTGCTGTTCTCATCACACTCCCAGCTGTGTGGGCTCCCTGGCGGCTCGCTCACCTGTGCTTCTCGTTTATCATCGCATAATTCTTGTATGTGTGTCAGAAGCAGAGTCCTGTATTGAAGGACATATATTGTCCCACAGGATGTAGGGGGTGGATTAAGGGATCTTTGGATGTAGCGTCCCCGATAGGGCAAGCCCCTATGGCTTCTGCAGTTTATACCCTCTGCCAACTCCCTTTTCTAATGGGCAGAACTGCTCCGAAGTGTTGCAGCTGTGCTTTTCAGTGATGCCAGCACTGTGGACTGCTTTCCTGGGGGTTTGGGACTAGGATTCTGCTGGGAGGGGCCCCTGAGTGGCACCTGCCTTGGCCACACCCACTGCTAATTGGGAGTTGAGTTTGGTTTGTATAGGGAGTGGATCCTGCAGGTTCTGTTATGTTAGAGTCCATGGAGTGTGTCCTTGGTCTGGTACGGGCCAGTCCTTCTGTAAACTGGCATCATTCCTGGGTGCTGGCTCTTCCCTCTGTGGGGAAGGCAGTACAGCCAGGGCAAAAGTGGGACTGCTGCGTCATTTGCTTTCCAGCTAGCCTCATGGCAAGGGAGCAGTGCCTGGCCTTGCCCAGAGGTAGAAGATTCTAGTGGCATCTCCTCTGGATGTATTTCTGAGGTCAGGTATTCCAGGACATGCGGAACCTAGCATTGGCCTGGGCTGGCTGTGCCTGGCAGGACCTCTAGGACTGATGCAGATGGTGGCCAGACAGCCCTGCAACCAGCCCTGAAGAAGATTCAGGGCATCCGAGCGGCCTTCACAGAACCCAGGACAGGATAGTGTGAGGGCTGGTGCAGGTTCCTAAGGGGCTGGGCAGCAGGCAGCCATGCGGGGCGTGAAGGAGCCCCAGGGCCAGCCTTGGGGTCGTGCTTCCTGCAGAATCTGAGGCGGAAGGTGACCCTGCGATCCCCCAGCCTCATGAGGAGTCACATCTCTCTCTAAGCAGTTGCAGAGCTCTTTTGTAAGCTTTTTATTTTTAGCAGCTTTTATTTCTGAACTTAAAAATTTGTCATAGCCAAGCTCACTAGGGCAGCTGCCCTAGCTCATTTCCCTCAGGTGGCTTTTTCACTGCAGAAAAAAAAATGCGCCTGCTATGAGGGAACTCTAAGCATGATCCCAAAGCCCTTTGCCATGGAAAATACAGCCCTATTTCTCTCCTTAAAATGCCTGGCTCTGAAGTGTGGTGGCCACAGCGACTTCTAAGCAAGGGCAGTGGCAGGAGCTCCCCAGGATGAGGCGCATGGTCGGCTCCTCTGGAAAAGCTGTGGAAAACCACGGGGGCCAGGTGGAGGGTGGTGCTTTGGGGGTACCCGTGTGCAGCTTGGCGGTCGCAGTGCTACATGTTCTGAGGACAACAGGTGTCCCTGCTGTGGATCTGCTCACCAGGTGATGGCCTGCAGCACCTTATAGCCTCCCAGTGCTAACGGGTCAGCCTCCCTCGTCAAGGCGGAAGTGAGTGGAGAGAGCAGGTGGGGTGGGGCAGCTCAGCAGGGGATGGTCCACACAGGAGCTGCTGAGTCCACTACTAGCTATAAGTTCAGGGACCTACCTCCCAAAGCACTCTTTGATTCCATGGTTTGCTGGAAGGATTCACAGAACTCACCACTCTTAATGCTCTTGGTTATGGTTTATTACAGGCAGAATAGAGTGAGGATTCACATGCGCTGGGGAGAGCACATGGGAGCCGTGGCAGACTCGGCTTCTTTGTGTGTGCTCCTCATGGAGTCAGGATGCAGGGCAGCATGAGCAGAACATTGCCTGCTAGGATGCTCCCTTAGCCTCTGAGTCCAGAGATCTTACTGGGCTTGGTCACACAGATGTGACTGACCGATGATTGATCACCCAGGTACCTGCTGGTAGTCGCCAGCCCCCTGGCCAACTGATCCTGCCCGCCCCCCTCACCCAACAGTGTTAGACTGTTCAGTGTGTCCTGGAAGTCATGATCTCCCAGGGGCCAGGGCAGAAGCCAGAGCTCAGTTTGGATAAAGTTAAGTTCTTCACTATGAAGGGTGAAGAAAACCTGGCACTTGGGGAGTGCCAGGGCCCGGGGACGACGGGGCAAGGGAGATGCCTGAGCCCTGTGTTCCTCCATGGTGTGATCTGGGAGTGTGTGTCTGGGGCCCGGGCGCCTAAGATGAGGCTGTTCTGTGCTTCGCTGCAAAGTACAGCAGGCGTTCCCGGCTCTGAGTGCCCACAGGTTCCTGAAGTCTCTCTGGGCCGCCTTTGCTCCGCAGCCTCCCTGCCTTGCCCTGCACTGACGGTGTCCTCTCTTCTTCTCTTCCTGTGCTGCGTGGTATGTGCTGAACCAGAGTGATGAGGAGGAGACGGGTCATGATGGGAATGACTCAGATTAAGTGTAAATGTCCTGGTGAGCTCTGCTGACCCTACAATGGAACCCATACCTTAGTCTCCTTGACCTAGCCCTTCCTCCACTGTCTCTGTCCCATGCATGTAGTTGACAGAACTTTTCACGCTAGATGCCAACTGTGTAGATCTGCAGTAGAGCTGGCTTGTCTGTCTGGGTGGGCTCGGGACCTTGGCTGGGTTGCCTGAGAACCCTGTGTGTTAGGTTTCCTTGCCGTGGATGTCAGTGGGCAAGGACAGGGGCTTGTACTTCCTGGGGTCTGGGCCACCCCCAGCCTGCCAGCCTTCCCATCCTGGTGCTGACCACGAGACTAGGAGGTGACAGGGCCAAAGAGCTGGGGCTGCGCTACAGAGGGTGGATGCCGGCCCCGCAGTGCCCGTGCTCCCCAGGGCCCCGGGGGTGCTGCTGGAGAGTCCGCGTGGGGTCCCCTTCTGTTAGCCTCCTCAGCCCCCAGGAGCGCCTCGCTTCCCTGTCACCTCCTAGTCTTGTCTCATTGCCTGAGCTGATGATTCCAGGACTCCACTGCCGTTTTCCCCTCCCAGGAACCACCTCGCCTACACCCTGTCTTACATACAGGGAGTTAAGGCCCAGAGAGGACAGGGCGCAGTTTGGCGAGCCCCGCACTATTCTGGGGCCCCCTGCTCCCACCACGGGCCCCCCCATGGGCTGAGCCTTGTAAACTGGGACACTCAACCTCGGCCCTGGGAAGAGCTTGGAAAGGCACAAGGCACTGGAAAACCAACCTCTGGCTGTGGGGGGTGTGGACTGGGGGCTTTTTTTTACACTTGAAGTAGTTGGGATTTGGGGGGGAAGGTCATTATATAAGTACATAACATCCTCAGTTTTACCCTTTGACTCGCCAACCCTAAAATAGTATTTACTATTTGACCCTTTAAGAAAATGTTTGCTGGGCACGGGCCTGGACCAGCCGTAAGAGCCCAAGGACAGGCAGCAGGAGCTCCATCTGTCCTTTTAAACTCTCTAGTGGCCACGTTAAATAAGCAGACATGTGGAATTTCTTAATCCACTACATGCAAAAGTGTTATTCCAACCTGAAAAATAATTGAGACACTTGACACAGTCTTTGAGATCAGGCATGTATTTGTATCTGTGGTCCTTCTCGGCTGGGGTGGCCATGACTTAGTCAGCTCAGCAGCATGTGGGAAGCAGGCCCTTGACTTTGGCCTGCCCCGACAGTGACCAGTGCTAGGAACTGTGATAGGAGCCAGCTGGGCATTGGGGGAGCTGTACCTACTAACTGGCCGTGGGGCACTGGTACTGGGCCAGCATCTGAGAGAGACAAGGGGGCTTCTTTCAGCCTCCCTTTCCAGTTACTGACTTTGTATCTGCTGGCCAGAGCAGCTGTCGTGGCCCTGATTCAGATCTGGGCTATGGGAGGGGCGTGTGTGTGCTGATCACAGAGCAGCCTGGAGCTGCCCTGGCCTCCAGATCTGCCGGTGGGGGTGCTGCTTGTGGTGTGTGGCCTGCCCTGGGCCCTGAAGGAGGTGGCTCGGGTGAGAGCTCTGTCCAGGACAGATGGCACTGTGACTGTCACAGGTCTTGGGAGGGATCTTCTGTTCATGTTAAAAGATCGTTGTTGGGCCCTGGCTGGTGCAGCTCAGTGGATTGAGCACCAGCCTGTAAACCAAAGGATCTTGGTTTGATTCCGAGTCAGGGCACATGCCTGGGTTGTAGGCCATTTCCCAGCAGGAGACACATGAGAGGCAACCACACATTGATAGTTCTCTCCCTCTCTCCTTCCCTTCCCTTCTAAAGATAAATAAATAAAATCTTAAAAAAAAAAAGGTAGTTGTTGGGATTTCGCTCTGGCGAGGTGGCCCCTCCTGTGTTGTCATCTTGTTCCCATGCCATGTTATGGTTGTGTGGCACTTACTGTCTTCACCACTTAGTCCTGCGAGCTCAGAAACTCTTCTGGGAGTGAAGGCAGCTTCATGGGCCCCCACATGCCTTAGCTTTTCTTGTAAACAGCAAAGATAAGGGGCCAGCAGACCCCACCCCCCCGGGACTGGGACTAGCACTTTGTGGGCAGGAGGAAACTGCAGGGGCTGACAGCACCTCTGGGGCTTTCCCAATGACTGAATTTAGGGACTTGCCCTTGTCTGGCCTGTGGGGGGTGTACAGTCTGGGGCTGTGCTCCCCCAGCACAGTGGAAGGGGTGCCTTGCCTTGCAGGGACTGTAGCCTGGGCTGTCTGAGCAGCCCCAGAGCTCTCAGAGACTCAGGGGCACAGGGCTGTGGACCAGGAGGGGTGTGAGGGTATCAGGGGACAGCTGGAACAACTCCCAAGAACTTGTGCCTTATCTTGAGTCACTTGGATGAACCCTAGGTGACAGTGAGGGTTGGCTGCGCTGTGTGGGCAGCTGCCCTGGCTGGTGAGTAGGGGGCCAGCAGGATACTTGCTGTGAGCTTGAGATCATTAGCGGCTGCCCGCATGGCCCTGGTGGGAGGCAGTGAATCTCTCTCTGGCCAGAGCATCAGTGTGAGTCTGGGCCTGGCACAAATAGCGCTGGCTCCCCTCCAAGGCATATCCCCATGTTGCACCTGGGCACGCAGTATGCTCAAAGCCATATCTCTCTCAGCTCTGAAATTCAAGTGCAGAAAGCCCCAGGGCAGCTTGTTCTCTTATACTGCTGATGGGATCCCAGGGAGGGTAATCTTTTAGTATTGGCCTTGGTTAGGGTGGGCCACGTTGGGACTTATGCCCTCTCTGCCCAGGTTACCTGAAGCTTAGTATCGAAATAGCATTATTTGCCAGTTCTGAAGACCCCTCTGGGGACACAGGGTCCCACTGCGTCCACCTGGCCCATGTGGGGTTTGACTCTGTAGGCCTTTGCCAGTGCACATGCCCGACCCCAGGTGGCTCCAGGCCTTTAGGAGCTCCCCGGTCTGGTTTGGAGGTGGGTGGAATACACAAATGATGCCAGTGGTGAGAGAAGGGCTGGGGTCGGGTGGAAGGCTACTCTTGCCAAGGTACCAAGGAAGAGAGGGAGGGAGAGGGGTGGCAGGCTTTTCTGGGTGGGCAGTGGGGTCAGGTATGTGTTCCAGAGAGTCCCGTCTGGCTGCAGCTAGGAGGGAGCTAGTACTTTGAAGTGGGCAGTCTAGCCACAGGGAGACCAAGTGCTGTGCAGCGAGACCTGAGCTCAGGCAGGCAGCATGTGTGGTGAGCTGGTGGGTGTGGGTGGAGGGTAATGGGGCAGTCCTGGAAGCCTCTAGGGTTCTGGGTAGCGTGATTCTGGGTTGTGGGGTGGAGGAGACATGGTTTGCAATGGGGCATGAAAGAAGGAAGAGTGGCAGATTAGGGAGGGGACCTCTGGAATCTTGGGGGCCCTAGTTGTACTTACGTGTCTGAAGCCTAGGATCAACTAGGCTGCAGAGGGATTTGGGAGTCAGTGCCTGTCAGGTAGGCAGTTAACACCCCTGGGTGGGCTCTGGCATCCTTCAGAGGGGAGAAGAAGGTGCCACTGAGGGAGATTTAGCTGGCAGTCCCTGGGGCCTGATAAGGAGCTGTACCCTCTCTGGCTATGCCTGTGTGTTTCGGGACTTGTGGAGGAAGCTTGGGGAGGCACCCGGTGGAGATGGGGGTGTGTGCCTTCTGATGTCAGGTTGGATGGAGAACGTGGAGAGTTGGAGGGGCCAGCCCCTTGTGTAAACCAGGAGATATGGGAGGCAGTGCTCCATGGTGAGGGTCACCTGGGCTGCTCCCCAGCCTGTTCACAGACCCGGCTCTGGTGCCGGCTTCCTCAGGCCCCTCTGCTGAGCCATCAGTGGGCTCCCTGGAGCAGAGCCCTTGGCTCCAAGCCTGCATAGCTCCCGCTTCCCTGTGCAAGACTCAAGTTCTCATTCTCTGCACTTGACATTTCAGATTTTGCAAGAACGAGGTTCAAGGATGTGAGGAACACAGTGTTGACAGCTGAAGAAACGTTTTACTTTTTCCAAGATGCAACGAACTGCCATGTTGAGGAAGCTCGGCCGTGAGAAGAAACCTGCTTTTAACAATTTCTATAGAGATCTGGGTGTGAATCCTTTTTTGCCTCTGAGGTGGGTGGTGAGAGACGTGACCAGCTAAGGCCAGGCATCCCCCACTAGGAGGAAGCGTGCTGGCCAGGAGGGCATTCCTGTTGGGGCCTCCGCTGGTTTTTCCAAGCGCCACACTGGCCTGAGGCAGGATGCTCCTGACCGACCCCTTTAGTCACCGGAGACCATTTAAAGGATAGTGTTCTTGGTGCTACATAAACTGTCTGTAATGGGCCCGGGGCCTTGCTGGTAGGAAGCAGATGCAGTGTGGTGGCCCTGGGCCTTGGGCGGCTGCTGGTCACCCACACCGCACCAAACCCTGGTCCTCAGGTCAGAGTCATGCCCAGGTGTGGCTGGTTGGTAGTAACTCACAGTCTTGAGCAGCTTTTGACAGAGTGGCCTCCATGTGTTCACTACTTGCCAGGCCCCTATCCTAAGGCTGGGCCTTCTTTGGAGTCTTGCTCCCCTGGCCTGACCTGGCCTGACCTGGCTGGAACAGTCAAGGCTTCTCCACTTGTATTTTCTAAGCGAGAGACCTTCGAATCTCTTATTTCCTGGTGTGGATAGACGTTCCCAATGTTTTTACTTTCTAGAAATGCCTAAAAGTGTTGCTGCATTTTGGATTGATCTGTTAAGTCACTTAAAGGGAGGTGGAAATTGTGTCTTGTTCATCCCACCCACGGCCCATGAGGACCCTGGCGCTCAGCAGCGCCTTGTCTTGTGCGGGCGGAAGTGTGAGTGGGAGGCCTGTCCCTCTGGCTGCTGGAACTGAAACTCCAGGTCATGTTGAAAATCGGATGTTTACAGCGCATCACAAATATTTCTCTTTCTTGCCGGCTCTTTCATTTTCTTTGTATAACTATGCAGTTCTCTCTGACATTTCTGGGATATTTGAGGCTACACCGTGGGCTCTGCCCACCTGACGTGACATCGGAGCTACCAGGATCCCTCTGAAACCCACTGTCCACATGCTTTAAGAACAGACCTTTCTGAGCTGGTTGTGGGGACTGCCAGATTCTGGGGGGGGCCTGGCTCGGACAAGCAGCTCTCCATTTCCTGACCTTGGGCCTCCCTGGGGAGCAGTGCGCACCGGCACCGGGGCTGCCGACACGTCGGGTGTGGGCTCAGACACGTCCAGTTTCAAATGCTTCCGGAGGCATCTCACCTGTGCCCTCTTCTCCTTTGCCAATAAATAACCTGATTAACCAAGTTCTTCAGCACCTAGGACTTACCTACTCCTTTGTGTAAGGCCTGTTGTATGTTGTCCAATGTTTGGCTTCAGCCATTTAGAGCAACCTCTCCGTGGGGTGCGTTCCGCTCTTGGTGACCCGTCCTTCTCGCGGGGCCTTGGGCGGAGGGCGGCCCTTGACGGCCTGCAGGTGTTCCTGTGAGGCGCTACGGTTGCTTATTGTCATTTAATTTGTGACCTTGACATTTTAGATAGGCTTTTTTTTTTAATTTAAAGATATTAAGACTTAATTCACTAAAATTTATTCTAAGGGGATATTTATACTTTTATACTTTTTTAGGTATCTGTATTTTATCAGCTTACAGTTTAATGCCTAAGTTTCCCCTGGAAATAGCAAATAAAATTGTGTATTTATGAATGAGCAGAGCAACTATTAGTGTCTTAAAATGCATGGAAAAGCTCTTGGCGACACTGGGCAGAGTCAGTGGCCAGGGTGGAACTGGCCCCCCCACCTGTCACTGTTCAGGGAGGCTGGCTGGGGTTTAGCACAGCACGTACTCAGGGACCAGGAGGTCATCTCTGAGTGACTGGAAAGTACCAGTGCCTCATCAAGTTAAGCGTGTCCACCTATTTTGTCTCTTACTCTGGCCAGAAGCATCTACTTCAAGTTCCTTCATGTCCCTGGGCTTTCTAAGCTCCCCACCTCGTTCCTCCCCCCGACTCCCACCCTTGCCCCTCACAGTCACTCTGGCTTCCACTGGTGGCTTCTGTTCGGCAGCTCCTGGAATGCTCTCCACGCCTCAGGGAAATTCCTGTTCCCTTGTCCCCTGGAGAGCTCTGGCTCCCTGAGGCTGGCTAGGATGTCCTTGACCCCAACATGCTGGAAATCTTGGGCTTTCCAAACTTCTGGTCTCTCAGAATGTCTCTCCTGTTTCCAGGTGTGTGGCCAGCTTGGCCAGGAGTCCTGGGGTCCTGGGAGGGGACCTGTTCTGCCTGCCCGGGCTGGGGGTGGGAACGGCCTGCCTGGAGGTAGGGCTCTTCAGCACTTGCTGTGCGGCTCAGAGCACATGGGGAAGGACTCCCAAGTTCTACTCTGAGGACTTTGCTTTCTGAACAGATCAAACTTGGCATCATCCAGCTCCGTGGTGCCAACAACGAACCTGGACATGCCTCTAGTTCCTGCTGCCAGGTGGGTACTTGGGAGAGGTTCCAGAGTATCTTGGGTATCCCCATCAAAGCCCTGATCTTGTCTTGTGTTCGAGCAAAGGACTGAAAAGGAGACAGCCATCTAATCTGTGTCCCAAGGTCGAGGAGGGAGCCCTACCCCTTGGACCTTGCCCTCCAAGCAGCCTGCCTACCTTAGGGGGACGGGGAGGGGCAAGTGACACAGTTTCCGGGGCCACCAGCCCTGTAGCTCCAGGAACCTAAAGGACAACAGGAGAGGAAGGTGGGCGCTTGGTGTTTGCAGGGTCCCTGTGTGGGCGCCCAGCTGCTGGGCCTCCTGCAGAGCTCATGCCTTGAGTCTTCCAGGGCTCTGCACAGGGACAGGCACCCCCCTTGACCTCTCACCTTGTTCCTCTTCTCCCTGCATTTACTTGTGTCCACCCAACAAGTGTTCTGGCATCTTTCATCCTCCTCTGAGCTGCTGGCAGCTGCTGGCTGGTGTCCCATTACCCCTTAGTCCCTGAGCCCAGTTGAGGCAATGAAGGGCTGAGTCAGCAGGGCAGCTGTTGTTCACCCACAGAGCCTGTGTGCTAAGGCCTGTGGGGCACTGGGGCAAGGTGCCCTGGAGCCTGTGGGGTCTGCAGCCTTCAGCAGGTGCGGCTCCGCTGCAGTAGCTTTGGAGTAAGCTGTGATTCCCTGAGACACAAAATCTGGGTGCTGGTGCACAACCCCTAGGCGAGGAAAGGTGGGGTCTTTGGCTTTGGGGGCTTTGATTTGCATCCCCCCTTTGCCTTCCCCTCTTCCATCCCTCACGAGTGGTAGTATCAGACCTAGGACTCAGCTCAGGGCACACAGCCAGTCCTATGATGTCAGAGCCATGGTTGACCTCTGGTTCTTGAGGCCAGAAGGGGTCTGGCCCAGCAGTTTTCATTCCTGGGGCTCCTGTGGGTTAATCATAATGGTTACATGTGCATGCCCGTGTATGGGTGTGTATGGTTTGTGTGCAATGTGTGTGGATTTCCAGGCCTGGTTACAGCCCATGGGATGGGTATCTGGTATCTCTCCAACTCGTGCTTCACCTGTAGGCTGCCGTGGTTGCTACAGGGTGGGTCTTTCATCTGGTCCTTGACCTGGGTTGGGCTTGCTCCCTTCTGCCCCTCTGTAGGGGCAGCAGGTAGTCTCCAGTTCTCCAAGGTATTCTTTGGGCTGCTGACCTAACCTGGCACTGCCACCCACCACCTGGCAGATGGCTCTGAGGTACTGCTTGGCGACAGTGTGGCAAGTTGTGTCTGAGCTGTGCCACTGCCAAGGATGAGGAAGGGGACTGCCCACAGGTGGGGGTATGTCTCTCCTTAATCTTTCTCAACACTGAGTGTGCCGTGAACTGTGAATGGCATGAAATAAACCCGCTTTCCCTTTTAATCTCCTGTTCTCTTCTGGAGTGTTTGCCTTTTCTCTCCATAGCCCTCTGGTCTAGCATCTGCCCTGGCTCCGGGTGGGAACTATTGTGGAGCCTGGCGGTGGAGCCGAATCCTAGGTTGGCCACCACCTTGGACATGGCAGTTTGCAGTAGTTCAGTGGCTACATCAGGGGCCCTGCCCAGGACCCCAGACTTTCCCTCCCAACCCATCTGGGTGTGGTGTTGCTGGGGGCCAGGCTGCTGTGGTGTCTGTGCCCCTCTTCCCTGTTAGCCCCACAGGACCTGACCAGACCTCTGCCTGTAGTGGGAGGACTGAAGGGGTGCTGAGGGACTCCAGGGCACTCAGAAAGCTGGGACGGGAGGAGGCAAAGTTGGGATGTTGAGTCCTCCGAGAGGAGCCTGGTTCTCACCCACCTCCAGGCAGTGAGGCTATGGAGGGCTTCCTTCCAGAAACCACCTAATCTCGAACCAACCCCGTACCACAAGGCCTGAAGCTTTTTAATACCTCCAGAGCAGGGTGCTGGGGTCAGCCAAGCCTTTTTCCAAGGCTTTGGGACCCAGGGTCAGTCCCTGGTCCCAGCCAGGATGACCCAGAACTTGTTTCTAGGGCTACCCTCAGGACACTCATAGTTTGGTTCCACCCCCCACCTCGGGGCCTTGGTATACTTGCTGCTCCCGGAGGGACTCAGAGCCCACCTCTGGTCTAGAGGAGGCGCGCAGCACACAGCCTAGTTCTCAGAGGGTCACAGTGGGGACCCACCAGCAGACGAGCTGGGCCACCGTGAGCCTCTGCCCATCATTGCACCTCCCGCCGGTACTTCCTGCCTGGAGGCAGGGATGCGCTGAGCAGAGTGGAACACCGAGGGGAATTAAGTATTCGTTCCCACTCTGTCCCCAGGGACAGTCCTCAGCAGGTGCATGCTGAGTATTGATTCTTCCATAAATACCCAGGCCTGCTTGCTTCCCGGCACCAGACCAGCAGGCTGTGCCTGTGTATGCACAAGCCATGTGTGTGTGTGTGTGAATGCATTGTGTACTAGTGGGTGTGTGCACATATGTGAGTGAGGCATGGATATGCACAGGTGTCTGCATGAATGCATTGGTTGTGCTAGGGAGTGTGTTCATGAATGTGTGTGTGTGTGTGTGTGTGTGTGTGTGTGTGTGTGCGTGTGCAGGGCAGCAGTAAATGCATCCCTGCCCTTCTGAGGAGTCT